GTGCTACCATTAAAAGCATGACATCACACAAGGGGGAGGGCATTCATTAGAAAACACGTGGCCTAAGTTTAGACGCCAGACATGCTGCATAATGTGCATCCTACATTGCAGTTTGCTGATTGTATTCCTCCAGTTGCAGTTTTGATTTGAAATCGATTAACTGTTCATCCCTAACGGCCTCTGATGTGATGTTGCTGGTATCTCAATAAGACTTAACTGCTGCTAACTTGCTGGAAGCCTTAAAACATAAAAAACCTGCTCCACGCGGAAACTCTAGATGGCGCACCACTGCAGCACGACTCAAACTACGCTTCAGGTGAGCTGTAACCTGTTACCATGGTCACTAAAAGGAAAGGTAAGAGATCCTGAAACCATCACACATAATGAACAGCGGGGCTCAGCTTTAAATATAATGCCCTCATTGAATTCACACTTTACCTCCTTTGTAAGAGTCCTTGAGTGTCCGTGTGATCCACTGCATGGCTTTAGCCGCAACTTTGGTGCCAAAGTTTCTATCAAATGGAGACGGAGCTCCTCCCTGTGAAAAGGACACGAGTCTGTTTAAAATATTACCATGAAAAATGTAAAAACTCTCAAAATAAATAAGGATGTTTTCCTAATAAAAGTCAAATGCTGTTTACTTTGTGCTGTTAATATGCTTTATATTGTAAAAAACCCTTAAAATTGATAAGTCACAGTTTAGTCAATAGAATTCTGTGAAACAACAACACAGATCATCACAAACCCACAGTCTTTACAGTATTTAACATTCAGCCTGATAAAAGAATCACAGAAAGGACAAGTGCATATTTTATGGACTCCCTCAAGTTGGAGTTTAATTTATTCAGCTGATGAATTGAAGCATTAAAAATACAAACAGTGTGTTTTTGTGAGTCCAACCTGCTGCATATGACCGAGGATGTTCTTCCTGCAGTCGAAGACTCCTCGTCCCTCCTCAGAGTACAGCTGGTAGATGAAGTCAGTGGTGAAGTTCTCGTTGCAGTTCTCATTTCTAAAACAAACCACAATGACAACAGGAAGGTTAAAGGGTCAAAAATAAATAAATAAATAAAACACTGGTCGCTTTATACCAGATACATGAAATGAAAAATATTTTATTTATCCCACAAGGGAAATTCAATTATACATAATAATAATAATAATAATAATAATAATAATAATAATACATCCCCATCACCGAACAGGCTCCAAAGCATTTTATGTTCAAGATGTACAAAATCCTTCATCCCATGGTCAGCGAGGATTCTATGGCTAACTGATGTGCATTATTTTCATGTATACACACACGTAGTTCGGCGACTTAAATCACTGGTATTATATCACGCCGCTCTGGGCGTCACCATAGCAACGCGCAGATCAGCTGTGTCTTGACATGTGAATGAGAGAAACGTGATAAAACATGGATTTGGAGGTTAACTTTAATATGTTTGGCCGAAACAGAACGTTTGAAGAATGGGAAGAGGAGGAGAGCAAACGAGAAGAACAGCAAAAGCAACGACATAAAGAGTTTTGTGCCATGATCAGCGAGGATTCTACGGCATAAAATAGTCCCAAAAAACGTTTTTAGCAAGTTCTATTAATTAAATGAATATTTTGTGTGTTTGCTCGCTGTGTGGGACCATGGTACAAGCAGATTAAACAACTCGGAGCCGTGCATGATACGGTTTTAATGCATTTAGCGGCGTAACACCACGTCGTGGTGTTTTAGACTCCACTGTGTGCATTAAAACCATACAATGCACGGCTCCCAGTTGTTTAATCCTTACTTGGAGCTTAGTGTCAGGATGATGAGCGTGAAAAGACAACAGTACCATACATTGCCTCTGCTATTAGGTGGTTTAAAATAAAACACCACTTTTATGCTGTAAAAAGCATTCACTGACCGTATACATGATATTTTTGCCACTTCAGGAAAACAAAGCCGCACTTTTTACTCCGTTTTTAACATTCTACTCTGTAAAAATGTAATTCCTGACAGCTTGCTGGCTTTTACACTGTGTAATTTGTGTTTTTACACAAAGTGATGATTTACGCTCCTTTTAGCTTTTGAAGGTATTCAGATTTCTATAGACTGCCTCAAACCTTATTTTTTCCGCTTATCAGTGTGGATGTAAGCAATATCTAGTAGATTCTCAGCAGAAAGGCTTTGAAATGTTTTACAGTCAACATAGAAAATGTTCTTCCACTGAGAATCTGTATTTTGTACATTCACACTCATCAGGGAAAGAAAAGCTTTAGATGGGCTCCATAGACTTGGATACCTTCAAGAGCCAGACGGACCGTAAATTACTTGTCAAAGTGTAAAACAGCTCGAAGACAGCAAACAAATAGTCAGGATGCCACTTGCTCTTAAAACAGTGTAAAAAAAATGCTGCTTTGTTTTCCAAAAGTGGCAAAAACATAATGTATTTGGTCACTGAATGCTTATTACAGCATAAAAAGTGGCACACTGTTCTAAAACACCTCATCCTCTTATTGGACCCTAATTCACAAGATGAACACCGAGCTCTCTGAAAGGAGACTTGAATCTAGTGACGGAGACCCTTAACTCATTAGATAAATGTTTACTGAGGTCACAGATCAAGTGAGAAGTACCATCATTTTTTCATACACTTATGTTTTGCAGACTTCTGTTTGAATCGCCCCCTGCTGGCTGTTAGAAAGAATGCAGATTTACGGCAGTTTAGCATCGTTTTCACTTTTCAGACCCAGAGGTCACAGTCCTGGTGTTTGAAAGACCATCTATTACACTTATGCAACCTGAGTTATCCAGTGCAACGATTTTAGAAAGAGGTGATTTTTTCCTGCCTTTCTGTGAGATCACAGGTGAGACGAATCTCAAACTGCACATCACTGGAGAAGTGAGTCGATTAGTCATCTGGGTGATGTTAAGTAGCACTGCCCTCAGGCGACTGGTTCTCTACAACCACAATGTTCACACACTTGCGATAATGACTGCGTCTTGGAGTAATGAAGAAATGCAGGCGCGCTAACACGCAATGTCACCTACACTCTGTCCAAAATATTACATTTGTCCTATTTCCAGAGACCTCCACCCTGCTGGGAGGAACTGAACCAGCGTGGTGGTGCAGTGGACTAAAATAACCACAACAGAGGACACGAAAAGTCCTCCACCATGAAAGACTTTGAGGTCGATCTGATGTCAGACATATGTAAGACCAACTGGTTTTATTCTAATTAATTCAGAACTACTTATTTACAACAATAGCACTGCATAATAAGAGTTATTTAACATTTAAAAAAACAATATACGGAAATAATTGCACCCCCAGCTGTGTTCTCCTTGTCGTTTTCTCACACAGACTCCCATGCAAAAACCCCACGGGCTACACAGCAAAGGAAACAGCAGCAGATTGGAAATGTTGCACTAAGAAAAATTGAGTGGAATAAAGCCTCACCTGAGCACCAAGCCCCTCTGGATGCTCGTCTTCATCTTCTGCGTCAGATGCTCCACGTTGGCCTGAAAACACAAACGGAGCCTCGCATTAAACCGGAGCGACGGCGGCCTGCAACCTGCAACCGCGAAATCTCACACCTCAGTCTCATCACTCAGCAGCTTGGAGAGGCGCAGGGTGACGTTTACACCACTGGGGGGCGCCGCGATATGCCTCTGTGGAAGCCAGGAGCGCTAATGCAACACTTTGTTCCAATTCTGATTAACGCTGCAATTTTTAATATATAATTCGGAGGAAAAATATCTAAAATTTCTTGAATATGGTGCATTTTTTAAATACATTTTAAACCCTATGTGGCAAATACAGCTACCTGCTCATATGTTCTTGTAACAAATGCTTTGATATAAAGTTTGTTACACAGTAAAAACACTGATCATGTATAAGGGTGTTTTCAAAAACAACCAGTTTTGTCAAGAAATCATGCTGAAAAACCTACAAGACATAAAGAAAATAACAAGGAGCAGATCAAAATCAGGTTTAACTACTTCAGTTTAAGTTTGTGTGACAGGAACAACATACACACTGACGTCTGTAATCACCTGATGGGATCTGTCTGTCATGGAATGAGTGATGCAGCTCAGAGGTTATTAATAAGCTGCCTCAAATGCACTGCTATAATCTGGGTCACCTGCACGCTCCTGAAACATCCAGACAGAGGCGGTGACGGACTGATGGAGACGGCTGCAGTGCTCATGTGAGCAGACAAATGTGTCATTAAGGGGAAAAAGTGGTCCAACTAAAGTCATAAATGGAAAGGAGAACCAATGAAGCTCTCAGCAAGATAAAGATTCTTCAGACGGGTGTTTTATGATGATGACAAGGTTACAAACACAGTTTAGTTTAGTTTTATTTTTTTTTGCTGTATCTGGACACTTCTTTCTAACCTGAAGGTCACGGATGTCAAACGCCTCCTCGTAGATGTAGACGGTGTCGGCGCCGGCAGCCAGACCGCCCACCGTGGCCAGGTAGCCGCAGTAGCCCCCCATGGTCTCGATGATGAAGACCCGCCGCTTGGTGCCGCTGGCCGACTGCTTGATGCGGTCGCATGTCTGATTCACACACATACAGTTATTAAACAAGCAAAATGGTCGCCGTGGAGACCAGGCAGCTGCTTAACATGATGTTTAAAGTAGAGCTGAAGCAATCTAACAGGAAACTAATTAAATTTATTCAGTAAACATACAAAGACTAAAGGTCACCATCTCTCGTGTCCTGTGTCCTGATTTAGGGTCAAAATCAGGGAATATTAGGATATAAATCAATATTTAGATTTATTTTTTTACATACTAAACAATCAGAGAAGGTCATTCAAGAAATGAACGAATCATTAAAATCAACATCAGCTCTACTTTAAAGCAGATCAAATACCTGCAGATTGTTCTGAGTGACAGAGATGCACAAGTTGACTCATCAGTCGATGCTGCAGAAGTCAGACTATAAAATATTTTATGACATATAAACACAGATTAAGGTGAAATTAAATCTACACTGGATTTGTCAACAGTATTAATCAGTTATCTCTTCTTTTATGGTTGCTTAGTGAGCATTAGGAATGTAAATAAAACAAGAAAATGTCCTTAAGTACACATTGTGGACAGCTAGAACAACCTTATATATTAAATAAGCTGAGCTTGTTGTTTTCTACTGTTGTTTGGCTTATAGCTCTTGTTCTCCATCATGTGAACAACGTTCATTGACAAACTGATCCTGATCTCAGTTGCTCAGGCAATCTTTTCTCATTTTTTCATTTTTTTTCACTGCACATGTAGAAGCTCACTGAAGTCCTTTGAAGACATCTTACAGAACATTAAAACAGCGGCTTTCTGTTACGTTTGTCATGTCTTTATTCAGACATATCCACCAAAGACACGAACTAAAACACAGATCAAGTAACATAATGCATATAAATGCACTAATAAACAAAAGACTAAATCTAAATCCACTTGATAACAAATGGTAGCTGGAAATCTATGACTGTGTGCCTGATGGCTGAAGTGACAGGAAGTGCACAGTGATTTTCCTTTAGATCCTGATCGATCCAGTCTCCATGTCTGGACACATTTATCAGTAATTAATGAAGTTACTGCTGTTGTTCTCCCTCTTTGCAAACGTTCATATGGATCCTGCTGCTGTCTGATGCTGCAGGTATTTAATCACCTCAGAGGAAAAACAGCTGGAAGCAACAAACTAAACTAACAGCTCCGTTAACGTTTGGTCAAGTTTAACTGGTGAGTCTCTCCTCAGTCTGTTCTGCCTTCATTGGAAAGCTTTTGTTTTATGGACATTTCAGTTTATTTTAGACGTGATTCTGGCACATAAACTGTCTTTTGCTCTCTGTTATGCTTTTGGATCAATATTGGTGCTCAAATGTGGAAAATCTCTTCCCCAAATCGCTTTACTCAACTTCAAAGTACATCGATTGTGTTGATTGTGCATCTGTTGATGCGACAGTAAACAGTTCAGATTGGTGCCATGTTGTTAAAAGTGAGAAACACTGAGGTCTAGTTCAGTGAGAGATCCATGTCAGCTTGTACAGGTACGTGACCGAGGTGTTTGTTTAGATGCCGTCACAGTAGCAGAGAGAAGTTTATGTTTGAAAGCGGCCGAACTAAGAAATAACGATTTTCTGCAAACTCAGAAGAGTCAGAACGCAACAAAACCACGAGGATTCAGGAACCGTCAGAGTCCATCTGTGCATCTCTGTGTTCTAAACAGATGAGTGGAGTCTCCAAAGACCAGAACCCGACATGATCAAGTCCCTCTAGCTCCTTAGAAGCTGTTCCATGTTGTGCTTATCTAAGGTTTTGGGACTCACTGTTTAGTTCTTAGCTGCAGACTTCACCCATCTGGCATCAAACAAACAGCAGGTAAACACAAATCACTGATAAACAACAAACAGCATCACACACAAACTTTACCAACTTTAACACAACTGCTTGAGAAATGCATCATCAATCATCAACACCAGAGCCGTCACTGACATGCAAGTGCATTACGTTGTTTCTCCAAACAGCACAACGTGTACTCACTGTGGTTTCACTTCTGTTCACAATCATCTAGAAGCTTCAGTAGATGAACTGGGATCATTCAGCACTGACGACTGCCTCTGGTGCATCTTAGCAGCTTAACAGGTTTTCTCGGCCTCATTTGATCCAAGTTTCTCATCTTTAAACTTTTCAGTACGTCACAAATCTGCATTTTCAAGTTATTTGGGTTTGAATTTATGAATTCTTCTGGAATCAAGTTAATATTTTGCCTTATTGTCGACACATCATCGTTTCATTTAGGTACTTTGTGAAGAAAACAATTACTTTAATGTATTTTAATTTTTATTCAATAAGATAAGAAAACATTTCACACACATCTGCTGATAATCTCTTACATTTTTCTTGTTGCTTTTTTATTTGTTTATTTATCTATTTTCATGTATTTGTGGGTCTTGTGGGCCTTCTAGATGTCTCCCAGTTGTACTTTGAAAACAGAACACGAATGGTCCCTCATTATCTGAATAAAGCTTCAACTCAAAACACAGCAGCATGTGTATAATTACAGTTTAATATGCAATATTTAACATTTCAGCTTTATCTGTAATATTTCTTTATCATGTGGGATACTTTACAACCCTTGAATCATAATTTATTACTTTTTCTGTTGTAGTCTGACTTTAGCGTGCGTTTGTATTTGTATTTCATATTTTTATTTTCAGTTACATATCGTACGCATATCTTATTGCTTTTCTACTTGGATCTGCGATTTTCACAGAATTTAGTTTTGTTTTCTGAAGACTATCTGGCAAAATAATTTCCATTGAGATTAATAAAGTTCTGTGATCAGATTCATCAGTTCATTAGATATGAACAAATGATCAAGACACAAGCTGACTTCATCTTTGACTTTTGAGAAAACAAACAAATTTTTAGAATCTCAACATGTCTCCATGTCAGTTTCTTGGACCTGAGAAATACTGAGTGAACCCTTAAGAAAATGACTTCATCAGTCCAGAGACAGTTTCAGATGTAATCGTAGCTTCTTGTCTTTAACAGTTCGGCCGGGTCCTTACCTCCACGATGGCGTTGAGGGATGTGTCGGCTCCGATACTGAGGTCGGTGCCGGGCACATTGTTACTAATGGTGGCGGGCAGCATGCATATCGGGATGCAAAAGTCCTCGTAGTCGGCTCGGGCCTCGTACAGCTGCAGCAGCGACTCAAGGGCCTGATGGTGGTGGCCGTAATATGAGGTTAGACCACCAGAGGGAAGACTAGCAAAAACCCTGTCAGTGTAGCTTCATGTGGCGTGTTAACAAACTACTGAAGGCTGCCTCATGGTGCCCAGCGGCTCCTTTTGCTTGAACACATCAGTGTATTGGGTTGAAACTGAAACTGCATCTTACATCAATGCTGTTTACAGTATGAACCATGCATACTTTACACTACAAACAGCTGGTATGAACAGCACTTCTCTGTGAGAAGGTGATGCAGGAAGTTCATCACAGTTAGTTAAAAACAAAAGGCATCATTTTTTGGTTTCTGTGGTGTTTCTAGAGCTGCTTCATCAACATCAGTAAGTAATTTTTTTATGAACACAATGAGTGAGAATGCACCATTTAGTTAAACTCCCTCTCTGGTCTTTGATTTACCTCCTAAAAACTTTTTTCCCATAAAAATAACCCTTTCAGGCCTTAAAATGGACTTTTATGTAACTTTACACTGTTTCTTCCCTACAATGTGCAGATCTATGTCGTCTCCATCCAGAT